ATGTGGGACTTTCATCCTCCATCAGAAATAACTACAAAATATATCCATATTTTTATTAATTTAGCTTCCAAATATTTGTAATAGGCAAGTCAATGTCTTTTAAATAATATTAATTAAAATATTTTAGCTATATTACCTTATATATTACTAAAAATATAAGTTTTATATAAATTTCATTAGCATAAGAATTTTTCTATTTATTTTTTTTTTAAGGATATATTTTCATTAAAAAAATGTTTATATTTGTTTACACTTTTCTAAATGGTCTAAAAAATATTTTACCCTCCATCTATTTGGTATCATAACGTGGAAGCATTTATTAATAGTTAGTCTCGACCTTCAAAAATGAAGCTCACAACTCTATTCTCGACATAGTGTTGCGGTCATTTCTTATCGATTCATATTCCTTATCCTCTTCCTTAAGAAAGATAGTACATAACTTATAAAAAGTTTGTCTACCCATTTAAAGTTGATTGTCATCGAGATCCATTGTTAAGAATGAGAAATAGAATTGGGATCGGAAGGTGTAACAAACAATGGTGGGATCAAAAGTCCAATTTTCATTATTGCTCACGACTAGAATATTAACGGATTACGAATATCTAAAATATATTCCATAACTAATTATTATAATATATTCTAATACTCTCGTCAAGTTGGAGTGTGTAGTCAATAATATCTAACTTGTCTTGTCGAGTGTAGGTCAATAACACTTTTGTCTCCCCAACAAAGAAAATCTCTAGACTTTCAAGAAATTATTGAATTTTCAAGAAAGATGCAAAATAAAAAATAGACGTCTTTCATTGGTTTACTTTTTAGACTTCTCAAGAAATTATTGAATTTCCAAAAAAGATGGAAAACTCAGAAATAGACGCCTTTGATGTATCTCAGAACTTGAAGAGTTGCTTCTTGATTTATGCATAAATGATTTCCTCCAAAGTTGGTAATTTGTCCCATTTAATTTGATTGGAACAAAAAGAATACCCTGGTTGATGAGAGTGACGAACATAATAATGATGTGTTAAATAAACATATGAAGTTTTGAAGTTAGATAATAACATAAAGATCGGTACTCTGAATCACTTGAGAGGTTGTGAAAGAAAATACGAACATCTTGAATATATTAAATATTTAGTACTAAATATCTTTAACACCCATCTATATCGACCACAATATCAATATCATTCGATGAAAGTGACAAGGATATCGTCTACTGTCACTTTTCTCCACCTTTTTCTTCTCTTTCTCCTCCTTTTATCTCCCTTATACACGTTTCTAGAATTAGGCCAACCTCAAGTCTTGGCTCCCGAAGTCAACTAGCCATCCTATCGAATTGTGATTAACAAAGACATGATTTAAAAAAAAAAAAAAAACATACGAACCAACCTATCGAATTGTGATATTGATTGTGCTCCATCAAAATGAGATTTCATAGTAATTTTTGTTCTTCGTTCTTCATCACAATATCGATTTTATCCGATAAGATTATATAAATCATAAGTTAAGTGTTTTTTGTTTGGTTGGAGTAAAAAGAATCCCAAAGATTTGTACTAATCAATTTGATTTATAATATTTAATTATAAGATTAAGGGCCACGTGGGAAATTGCAAAAGTGAAAATGGAGTGTGGAGTCCGTGTATGTTGTGAATTCTGATTGTGAAAACGACAAAATTGAAAATAGTTTTGAAAAAAAAAAAAAAACCTTTTTGGCCATTTACTTTTTAAATTTTAAAATATTATATATATATATATATATATATATATATATATTTTACCTTTTAAATATAATTTCCAATTTAATCGATATATTTTAAAATATAGATTTTACACTTTTGTTATCCTTAAGTTTTCACCGTAAATATTTACTTTTTGTTTTTATCTTTCATGATGATTTTTGGTTAATTAATTTAAATATTATGGGAGAATTTTGTAAAACTAATTTTAATAGCGATAAAAAAAAAAAACTTTAAATTAATATTAATTTATAAAAATTAAAATAAATGGTCAAAAGTCAAACCTCAGTAAATGGAAGTAAATATATAAAAAGTTTAAATATAGAGATATAAAAATCTAAAATTTTGAATTAAAAAATGAGAATTAAATAGAAATTTGAAAAATTAAAAGACAAAATTGAAGCTTATTTTTAGTTTTGAGAGAGATGTTTTAACGATGGACTCAGTCTCAAACTCATTTTAATGCGCTAGGTGCTGTACCACCTACCATTTGCTATGTTCACACCAAAAGCATCCACCATTTTTTACCTCCAATTTATTTCATTTTTGTCTGATCAAATAATTAGAGATGTATATCGTACCGGACGACCTTCCTGCTCCCATCCACGTCACCTATTTCATTTCCCATCCTCTCTCCTTCTTCTATATCTCTCTCCTACAACCTCTCTCTAAACGCCCCTTTCCCTCACTTTTTGAGCACTTAAGTGTTGTCGCACGTTCTACCGCTCATCGAACACGTGCCCCATTGTCGATAAGTCAGCTTTTCAGATCTCGTTTCTCTTAATTTTTCTAGGGCTTTATAATGTCGGGTCTCAACTGAATTAAAGGAGCTTAAGGTGCAATTAGAAGACTTAGTTGGATAAAGATCTTATACACCCTTGTGTTTCGCTTGGAGCTAGAAAAAGGAGGATGGATTGTGCGCCTATGTAGAGACTACAGGTTGTTGAATAAGATTATGATAAAGAACAAATATCTGCTTTCTCACATAATGGTTTGTTTGACTAGTTACAAGGAGCCACCATATTTTCAAGACTGACTTGAGATCAAGTTATTATCAGTTAGGAAATCCAGAAAGAATCTATCCCTAAGACAACCTTCAAGTCTGATTATGAATATTACGAGTTTATGGTAATGTCCTTTGGGCTAAGAAACAACATTCACATTCTTTATGGGGTTAATGAACTTTGTGATCAGAGAGTTCCTAACACATTCGTAACTATTTCTATCAGACGACATTTTAGACTACTACAAGATGGATGAAGAGCCCGTTGAGATGCATGTTGATTTTATGCTTTCCACTGTGTTAGAAAGGAAGACGAGATATTGTTATCTGTGTTTCGGGTGATTGATGAATGTCATCTTCTTGTTGAGCTTGCATGAGTGTTTAGATTATGCTTTTCATGCTTTAGGTGATCGATAGGAGTATCTCTCTAACAAAGCACACATGAGAGAACCAAGTTAAGATTAGAGTTCTATAGCTAGAGTTGTTTTCACATTGACCTGTCAGTACGTTTCCAGTAGACCGAGCACTCTAGGATCGTGAGCAGCGATTAGAGGTCAGATTTAAGTGCACCTCGATATTGGTTTAGTCTTGAGGAGTTAGTCTCGAGGGTCCTAGAAACACTAATGAGATTTAAACTACCTAGATGCCCCTAAGAATTTAGTAGAGATCTCCACATCTAGGAATGACTAAGGTAGCTCACTAGGTTGTCAGCAGTATGAACAATGTCACTAGAGGCTCCACCACCTTATCCCTACCGGTACCCCGTTATTAGCGACCTAAGTCAAATCCAATAGCACCCTTGCCAAGTGGCGCTCGTAGTGCGTCAAGCTGATTAAGTGCTTCAACTTTATGGAAACGTCCAAGGGCCTCCTGAATAAGGTCACCAAATTATAACCAGTCTTGAGAGGGGATTTGAGGCGTAGGTGTTGAAATTTATGGCCTAAAATTTTGTAATGAACTACTTAATTTTTAATAATAATTTTGATGATTTATTTATAATTTAATATTATCCATGTATAAAAATTCAAAGTTATTAATATAATACTGTATAATTCGAGGTTGACATACAAGAATATCATATTTAAGTAATAACCCAAAAGGTCTACAAGAGTTATTCTCACCCGTGTAGTTATTCTCACCCATGTAAGTCAAAGGACAAGCGCTCACATGCAAGAGTTCATAAACTCATTCAGGATTAAGATCAAGTCGTATATGATCATCATGTAAAATATCGATCTTCTCAATTAACGGATTTACAAAAAAAAATTAAATATTCTATGGTTCAGTCTTATACAAACTCATTATATAAGATATTCCAATCACATGTCTCCACATGGATAATCAAATTATTTATAACGATGATAAATTAGGTCATATTGCTCTAGTAGGACACTCAACCTTATCCATAATACAAACCTTTTGAATTATACTTGTTTGAAATTATACTAATAATTTAACTTTAAATATCCTCTTGAACAGGATCCTCGTCAACCAGCTAGGCTAATGGTTTGATAAGTTCAGTTTAACAATTTATTAGCTAAGTTTAATGGATGATTTGATAAACTAAGAAGGGTGGCGAGTTTGGGATGAGAACTTTACTGGGAACCAAAGCACATAGTCTGGCATCTAATACAATTAATTCTGGGCCAAGATCAGACGCATAATAGATGCATGAATGGAGAGAGCTGAGGAAACAGATTATACCTTTTTATATAAATATACAAAAAGTAATTCTCCTTTAAGGTGCACAACACAAACCAGAAAATGGATCGACGTTTTTGAAGGTAATGACTCGTTATCAAAAGTGAATATAGTTCAATAGTAATTAACATATATTCTCAACCAAAAAGTCAAAGGTTCAAATCTTACCCCCAAGATATTGTCGAACTAAAAGACCTACAAAAAAGCACAAATATTTTCACAATGAAAACTACAAGTAACAAACAAGAATTGTACTGTATGTTTATATGCATATATGGTGTAAACACCGTAAACTCCAAAGTCCAGGACATGATATAAGGCACAGTTGCCTTATTACCTGACCGAGGCGAGAGGAAAGTGTGCCCTACATGAGATAGGAGAAGTCATATAGTAAGATAATAGACATCATTTTTGGTTCTCCAAAATAAAAATAGAAAACTACAAACGTGTCTAAGTCAATAACAATGTTTCACTACATAGAGAGGCATGGAAGACCAAAAATAAGCGCAACAAAATTAAGAATCTTCCAGCTCAATCTTGTTATACATTCATTCAGTTTTCTCTTTTGTAGATTGTCCCAACACATTTGCAGTACAAACAAGATGCATTGTGAAGGCACTTTGTTTCACTGTTCAGAAGAATATTATATTCAACACAAATTCTGGCCTAATATGATGATGCTTATTGCAAAACCTCAACAATCTCCTAAGAAATAGAAGAGCAAAAAGTGCTACATAATGCAACAGACTTTCTGTTTTTTCTTCGCCTCTCAACTCTGGTAAAGCCCCAGCCAACCCTCCTCTCCATCCCCACAGAAGATGGGATCCTTAACAAAGGATGCACCAATCTCCTATTCATAAACCAAATATATAGAGAAGTGATACTCTCAATGGCCATACATTTGTATCCCTACCCACTAAAAATGGAGGCGAAGTGATAAAATGAAAGTAACTTCTCTAACCCGTTGGACCAATGTAGACGAGAAATACAAAAGTAATTACCCCACAGCTACCATCACTAATCAGTGCAAAAAGTACTCTTCAACAGATCTTTCATCTAATCGTCATCCTCCGAATCTGTAAAGAAAATACAAGAGAAAAATTTCAACATCAGTTACAACCATTACATTACCCATTTGAATAAAGAAAACCAGAAAATCGAAACTAAGCAGTTATCCTGTACATTCAATATACTTTTCTGAATCTAAAACTCATTATAAAATTAACCATGATATTTGCTAAAAGCTCGAGGGCCTGTTTGAAGCTGTTTTTAATGAAGTTCTTTTTAGGCTAATATGAATCATGCAGATGAAACTCTTTTCATTTATGAAAAATGAAATTAGATGCATAACACAAAAGGTACCAGTGACTTGTAGGAAATTATCATACATAAATCTAAAACAGACGGGACTTGTGGGAGGGCTCCCCTTTTCCTATTTGATCAACGAGAAACTTTTAGTGGAGGAGTAGAGTTACACACCAGATCTTATATCCTCTCCAACTTTTCCCCTATTTTTCAGCTGTCTATGGATCATGGAGCATATGAGCAACCACCAGTATATGTGGAACACAAGCAACATCAACAACATCGTGTTGAAAACATAGTATATCAATCTGGAATTCGCATCTGATAGCTTCAAGTACTCACAGAGATCATAGCTGAGAAGTATCAATCACAAAATCAGATGAGCAAAAGAGTGTGGATACACACAAATCTTCAAAGATAAAAACAAACACCAGGAGCACAAACCTTGTTGATTTTATAACCCAGAATGGGAAGAATATAAGCCGCAATACGAGCCATGTAACAGCAAAAAATCCAAAGAAAACACTTGCTCCGAGTTCTTTTTCAGAATATTTAAAAACCTTGGCAGCTTCCATGAAGACATCACTTGCATCATGGAGGGCAAGAATAACCGATCCAATCTGGAAAAATCTGCAGAATTGAGTACAAAAATCCTGATTTAAAATGTCATCTATTAGTTTAATCAGTCTAGACTTCCATCATAAGAAATGCTGAGAAAGAAAGAAGAGTCGAGCAACTTTTGGTGACATACTCAAAAAAGAAAAAAAAAAGAAAAAAAAAAAGGAAGGTTCAGATGAGGCTTTAAAACAACAATTTGACCCAAAAATAAACAAATATAAAGTTTGCAAATATGTGAGTAACTTTCACACATGGTTACAGTGCAACATAATTAAATAAAAAAGAGGGTTACATCCTAAAGATCTCGCGGAGCCCCAAATTGAGCTATAAGGTGGGTACATTATCCCAAAAAACATCAGAAGACTTCTGTTTGACTTTCTTTCAATCCAAGTAAGGTTTTTTTAAAAGAAAAACCAACTCAAGTAGGGAAACTTCAAATAATTTCCATACTTCAATAACTCCCTAAATCATTCATGATACTAAATGGCACCATGATATTTATATTCCCGTAAATGGGTTAAGAAAAACCAACTCAAGTAGGGAAACTTCAAATAATTTCCATTCTTCAATAACTCCCTAAATCATTCATGATACTAAATGGCACCATGATATTTATATTCCCGTAAATGGGTTATTATTAATTATCATCAGGTCTACAATCAAATCCAGAAAAAGGAACAACCATCCTTTTATCAAAATTTGAATGGAAATGCTTTAACTTTGTCTAGTTTTTAAGAAAAATGAAAAACTGTGTAAGATACCGATAAAAAAAAAAAAAAGAAGTTAAAACAAGACATTTAGACTCGGATAGACATATCTATGTTCTGATATCATGCTCAAATGTTATATTAAATGATATACAATAAGACCGTTGTCCTCCAAACTATGTTAAACAGCACAATTCAATCTCCTAATAACCGTATACAAACCCAACACATAATCAGCTAAGCAAGATGTAGAACTCAAAATATATTGCAAGGCAAAGATAACAAAACTACAAGATAACCAAGGATTTGAGAACTGAGGTACTTTGAACTTCCCTTTCTTGAGCATTCTCACTCAAGCGCTAAACCAAACTCACTGAATCTTTGCTCAACTTCCCCCTTTTCCACTCTATTTATAACCAAATACCATAATTAACTCTCTGCTATTTACTAATATACCAGTATAATATCCCTAATTTCTTTCTAATGGGCATTCATATCACAAGACAATCATAAGAATGCAGGATTTTCAAAGAATCAACTTCAATTCAAGAGGTTTCCATCATATTATCAATGGATACTAGAATGATAAATGCCAAAATAAACGGTAGAAATGAAATACTAATTTGAACCAAATATATAAATCATCTGAAACGATTCCATTGAAAAATAAATACAGTGCTTCTAGAAGTACTCAAATCAACGGATCAGTATCATGTTGTACGAAAATTAATTTGAGAAAGTGAGAGAGAGAGAGAATAGGCCACAAAGTAACATTTGTTCTAATGCAATAATTCTAATAGACTTCAACAATCACAGCTTTGAATCTTTGACCTATTCTGTATCAAAAGTTACAAGGTCTTAAGACTGGTGGAAAACTTTCTCCAATGAAAAAGGAAAAAAAAAAAGAAGCCCAGCAGCAATATAAGTAACTACGATCATGAAAGCACAAGTAGGAAACAGACTCTGGCATGACTTTCCCAATCAGTAGAACAGCAATCAACACATTTCTAGTTATAATTAAATATTACTAGCTATGTTGAACTTGTATAAAGGAACTTTAAGAATACCTCGTCATATATGAATATCCGATCAAGATAACAGTAATTACATGATGAGACATCATGACAGAGAAGTCCTTTCTCCGAGTCTCCCATATAAGAAGAGCAGCAATGCTATATAAGTAGAACCCACATTGGCACATATAGAATAGTTTTAGAGGAAGCCTGCAGAAAGAAATGAAAGGGATCAGTTCATACAAAACAAAAATCTTTAATCCATTTGAATGTATCCCTTAAGAGTACTAATACACTGAAGTTAGAAGTAAAAATTTCAACTTCTTACTATTAAAGTTGCCGTACCAAGGAAGAAGAAGAATGGAGAAAAGAGCCCAAATGCACAAATGAAAAAAAAAGGAAAAAAAGCTAAAAAATTATTGAGGAGTAATCTAGATAGAAGAGGACATCGACCGACTTCAAGAATTTCTATCAATATTATCAACACAGCAAGTTAGATCTGATCCTTGACGCAAAGATGAAGTTCATCAATAAAATTAACAACAAAGCATGTAAACTACTCACTGCAACTCCTGATTTGGCCAGCCTTTGAAGTATTGATTTGAATCTCTAAACCATGGTTCATTATATGCAATTTTTAAAATGCATATTTCAACAGTACCATAGTATGCTAGTTTCCACATTGATTCCGAACATTTTACAACCTTTGACTGGGTAGCCTCATCAAGTTTCAGCGGAGCAGCTCCTTTGCTCAACAGCCAAATTGCGAACCTCTAAAAATAGGACAAGTTGAATAACATAATTAGTTCCCCTTTCTTAATAAGTAACAGAGAAATCTTATTGACAACACAAAAGAACCAAGTAGAAAAAGGGTTATAAGGATGCCCACAAAGTTCTGAAGATTACAAAAAAAAAAGAAAAAAAAAGTTTCTCCAATTGGCAGTGACAACAAAAACCGTAGCCACATTTTTCTAAGCAGAGCCTGGATACTTCATTTTATAAGTACAACCGAGAAAAAAATGCTTTGGAAAAGGAGCTCCAAAGAGAAGCTCTACAGTGTGCATTTGTTTTTCCAATTGCATTTTTACGTCTATAACAATGTGAGTCCTCTTACACAGAAGACCAAAGGCAACAAAACAATCTACGGGACAAAAGGATAAGGCATCCCTTTTTCCAAAGGAAGGATTATCGAATGACCTTCCAATCTAAAATGATGGTGTCAATGGAGTAATTACAAAACAACCTATGCTGAGCACTCCAAGTTGAGGCAGTATACTGTCCTGAATCACAAAAAGAAGAAGGACACTTAAGGACAAGATGCTGCCATCACAATCGCCAACTTGGGAATTACTCCGCAATTTTTTCCAGCCACTTTATCAGTTGGCCTTCGCGAATTAGACATCTTCCTGGTCAAATACAATGATCTTTTTCCATAAGTTGAACAGCGAGAATACCTTAGAAGGTAGGAGAATAATCACTTTCCACACAATCTAGAGATCAACCCTCAACCATTTTTTCTTTAACATAGTTGTATTCTTTATAAGTAGACCACAAAACATTGGAATAATTTATCTGGTGTTGCCCTTTTCCGCCAATACTTGGGCTAGATTGTAGTTCTATAGAGACGTGGCAGCAAATCCTAGTCAACTCCACTTGTGGAAGATTTCACTGGCATGCAATTTTCCAGAAGTTTTAAAGTTGTTGCTTAAAAGGATTTGAATGATCTTTGAGGACAATTGTCATTGGTGGGAGGAGGTTTGGAGCCTAACCCCTTCAATGTTTCCCTTTAGCCTCTCTTTTTTTATGCCTCTATTCCTGTTCTGCACTGCCCTAAATAAAAGCTAGTAAAAAATCTTTTTCTATTACATCCATTTTTGATGTTGGAATTGGATGCCATCTGAAATTTGGCTACCATGACAAAGGTAGAATTTCTAACATTTCATCATGATGACCAACCGAACTCCTTGCTTAATAAAGATGTTAACATCCACACGTCTTCATTGAAAATAAATGCAACAAATCCTGATACCTATCATTTAATAATGAATATTTCGTGTCTGGTTAAGTCAGCGGGGCAGTGCCACCAGGTGCTCTATAATATGACTACCAAACTAAGTAGATGTTGAAAACACCACCTATTAAGTTCAGTACAAAAAAAGTATTTGAAATTCACCAGAAAATCATAACCGAGCGAGAAAAGATCGAGTACGGCGTTCTTAATGTGAAGAAAATAAATGCAAGTAGAACAAGTAGAGACATTAAAAGTTTTCCATCTCATCTTCAATTTATCATATTTTCCGCCATCACAAAAAAGTTAGAAACAATTATTGAGGTGAATAACAGACAAGAAAATTTAAATTGCTACCTAAACGCACATATACGACGTTCTTAAAACGAATTATCAGAATCCATACATAAATCACCCGCACACAGACAAAAACAAAAGGCAAGTGAGAAACAAAATTGCACTACAGAAGAGCAAATGAAAAGTAGAAAACAAATGTAATTTGAAAACTCACACGAAAAATGAATCTGTCGAGTAGGAACCTCGCAGCGTAAAAGCCGAAGGCGAACTGGACGGCGATGACAAAATGCAAGGCGTCTGGCGCGCCAGTGTGGCTCCATATCGAGTCCATTGCAGGTATAATTCAGAGGAGAAGCATGAAAAACGAGGAGGAACAAAGAAACGAAAACAATTCTGAAACAACCTAGAATCAGAGCACCGAAATCAGGTAGCAGAGCGTAGAAGAAGAATCCTCGGCAGAGATCTAAGTTTGCCCTAAAATTTGCAGAGGGGCGAAGGAGGAATGGGAGTGAAAAGCCAGAGAAAATTCAGAGAGGGAAGGAGGAATAGTTGGGAGAGAATAGTCAGGAAGTGGAGGTTGAGATCTCCTCCTGCTCCTTTCTCCTTTTCTTTTTATTAAATTAATAAAAATACTTTTCACTTCATATTTTATCTAAATAAAAGTATTATTTTCGCTCCCAAAAATTTAAATAATATTAATTTTAATATCATTCAATTTTTAACGAATTTAAATAATACTAATGTTTATTATTTTTAAATATTATTGAAGTTTAAAAAAAAATGGAAGATATTTATTAAACTTTTGAAAGCTCCGATGATAAAATATCAAATTTAAAAATATGATTATTTTTAATTTTTTTTTTTTTAAGTTAAGGGTATTGAAAGACTAAATTAGTAAAAAAGAAATACTTTTAAACTTTCTATTTTAAAATATTCATAAATTTTGGTACGTTTCAATTATACTCTTCATCTAAAAAAATTATAAAATACACTAAAATTAGTTCTCAGTGAAAATCAGTACTATATTTTAAAAATATCCATAAAATTTTAAAAGTGACATTAACACAATTTACCTATCAATATATGTACGAAAACTGTCTATCAAAACCATAAATTATCTACCTATGTTTTAATTTTACTTTTGAAAAGTTCATCATGAACATTTTTTAAACGTATTTTTTATTTTTTTAAAAAAATTTAAAAGTATTTTTGAAGTAAAAAAAAAAATTAATGAATTCTACGAAAAATCGAAGTATTTTTTATTTTTTAAACAAAATATTAACTATTTTTAAATTTTTTTGATAGTTTAAAAATATTTTTAAATATATATTTATTTATTTTTTAAGTTTGAGGTATTATTGAAAGTAAATTTTTTTAAAGATAGAGTATAAAGCTGAAACGTATTTTTATTAATTTATTTAAAAAAAAGTATCTGTTATTTTTAAATTTTTGAAAAACTTTTAATATTATAACCATACTCGGCTCGACTCCAATTAAAGCCGCTAAGATTGGGACCAGCGGCTTTTGTTTAGATATTGGATTAAGTTTAATGATGTATTAATGGAAACCAATTAAGATTTAGAGGGTAATTAAGTCTTTTAGATAAGAAAATTCGGTGACTGTTATTAAATTATCATTTATTAACATATTAAAATGTATGTTAATACCCTAAATTAAAGGGTTTGGCAGAATTTAATGGATATTATATAAATACAATAATATGATCAATAACTTTTTTTAAATGGAAAATATCTTAATTATTAATTTTAATAATTTTTATATTTCTTTATTAAAATATATTTTTGTCTCTAAAATTTCAACTTTTGGATGTTTAAAACTAACGCTTTCGATCGTTGAGAGTTTATTTTGTTTATAATTGAGGTTCGAAAAGCAATATGTTTAATCCTTAGAGTTTGATATTCATTTTTAATTAGTCCATAAAGTTTTTAACTTAGTTTCTAAATGACGCGTGTCTGCCTTTGCACGTGTCAACCAAGTAAGTAGTTTTACTATTGGATTGATTGGATGACTTGGTTGTTGTACAAACAACGTCTGTCTGCTCTTGCACGTGTCATAATTATATGATTGTTCAACTTACCCTATACATGTTTGTGCTATAATGTTAGATATGATATAATACGAGTTGTGCTATGTTAGAAAATATGCAAAGAAATGGACCTAAGATGGAAAATAAGTAACCCACAATGTTATCGATGTTGGATGATGCATGAACCTCCATATGCATGCATGTATACTACATAATACGTTTAACCTATGCATTTGAGACATTAGTAAGCATGTAAGTTAATCGTGGAAGATACGACAAGTATTAAGTTTGCACGTTTCAAAGGAATATTACGCCATGAAAAGAATTGGGCATGACTTGCATCTTAAGTATATGTCACGCATTTTTATGTCACGTGCATCGAGATACTACTCATTTATGAGGAGTATAGATGCATACATTACGATATTTATGTTTTGCCATAATATTATGTGGGTTCCTTTTCCTTCGTGACTCTAGTAGTGGGAGTGTGCACTAGCTGAAGGGCAGACCCAGGAGGAAGTTATACGCTCGCCTGGTGGGTCCATACAAAAATTTCAAGGTGAAGAGAGAGTTTCGATTAAGTTGAAGTTAGATCAACTTCGAGATTAAAACAACAAGAACCAAAGATTGGTGCGAAAATACTATGGGCCTGTCAAAGTCATCCACAAGATTTGAAACACATCATATAAGATCCAATTGCTCCCATGGATGCGGACTTGCCATGTTATCCACATCAGTAACTTGAAATGTTCTATTCGACCAAGAAGACATCAAGCACCAGGAGGTGGTACGACCTCAATCAAAGAAGAAAAATTTCCAAGTCAAGAAAGTAGGAGAGACACTAACAAATAAGACGCAAAAAGTCAACAAGTTGAGAAGTGGTTTTCAGTAGTTCATAGTAGATTGGAAGAGAATCCTCAATACTGAGATCAGTTCGAAGCACGTCGAGAAACCTAAAGTCAACCTCATCCTACAACGCTGAATTTGTGAAGAGTCAGTTGACAGAGACATCAATCAATTGAGTGGGGGAAGATATCATGGTCATGCTTGTCATGGTCGCATGTTAGATGTCTCAACCATGCTTATCCAGGACGTGTTGTTCATGGCCGCATGCCTGCTCCAAACCCATTTTACTTGCTTTCATGTTAGATGGGTTTCACCATTATTTTTGTGTCAACATAGGGGTGTATGACCGGTCACCAAAATCATGTCTACACCCACGGGGACTAAAATGCTCCAAAATATACTCGAGGGGATGTGACTAGTTGCGGTTGTTGTTGCTTGTTCACTTTTAGCTTACAACATTTGTTTCTTTGAAATTGTTTTTCTGTTTCATTGCTCATGTTTTCTAAAATATTTTTCTTAAACGTGATTCGAGAATAACAATCATTGTTCGAGTTCCATGCTAGAGTGGCGTGGCTAGGAGTCTTGGGTGGAAGTGAATGTCACGGACCACATATGGACTTTGGACAGTGAGTTTCAAAAAAAATACATTTGAAATCCCAATATCTTACATGATTCAATTTGACATTGTGTTTTGGGGGGGCATTTCGAGAATCGAACTCGAGACCTCTCGCACCCGAAGCGAGAATCATACCACTAGACCAAATGCCCTTTCTTCAACACCAATTATTTTTAGCTCTTCTCTCGATATATTTTTTCCTCTCAAGTTCGAAATCTATCATTTCTATGAGTTGGGGCTAACAACGTCGAGGGAGAGAGAAAAATGGTAAGTTGTACCATTTAGGTCTCGAGCAAAATGAGAAGTTTTAGAGTGATTAAAGCATTTATTGAATGGAAAGGATAATGACAAAACTTCCAACCTTAACAGGAGTACTCTATCCAAATTAAATACAAGAGGAAGTTTACACGATTTTTATCATCCATTTTGAATGTTCTAATATACTCACAAAGGGAACAATGCTAATAAGCTCATTTTGGCAACTTGTTTTCTAACGGTGGAATTTTACAATTCACTTTCCTCCTTTGGAGGCCCAGCATCGAATGTTTCATTTTCCTTTCCAACTGATGTGGGATCTTACGATTCACTCCCTTCTAGAGGCCCAATGTCTTTGTTGGCATATCGTTCGATGTCTAGCTCTAATTCCATTTGTAATAGCCCAAGCCCACCACTAATAAATATTGTCTGCTTTAACCTGTTATGTATTATCGTCACCCTTATAGTTTTAAAACGCGTTTGTTAGAAGAGGTTTCCACACCTTATAAGAAATGTTTTGTTCTTCTCTCTAACCGATATGGTCTCACATCAAACCAAATAATTGAAATTAAATTTTGATTTAATTTATAAAGACGTGGTCATAGAGGAATTACTTAGTGAAAAATTAATCATTGAACTAAAAAAAAACCTTTAAATATAATTGGTTTATATATATATATATATATATATATATATATACATGAAGATATTCAAGATGGTCGATGTACTGTAAATACTTGGGAAAGCTTAAAACAAGAACTTTGCTCTCAATTCTTACTAAAGAATGTCAAGATAATCGCAAGGAGAAAGTTAAGGGAGTTAAGGCATATCGAAAATGTTGAAGACTATGTCAAGTGATTTTATGGGGTTATGTTAGATATTCATGACATGTTCGAGAAAGACAAGGTCTTTCAGTTTTGTTGAGGAGATGAAGTTGTGGGTGAATGCCAAACTTTATGAACAAAGAGTCCAAAACCTTTCAACAGCCTTTGCTATAGCCGTACGACTAACCTTTGCAACAATCAATCCCAAGACGAAAGACAGAACCAAGCTTCTATAAGTGTGGACAATAAAAATTACCGACCCAACTTTCCTAAGGGTGAGGGAGGTGACAAACTTGAAGACAAGGGAGGGGAAAGCTAGTCCCCAACAGAGACTCAATGGCAAAATCCTCATAGCCAAAATAGTCACCATCAAGGCTCCTTGTCCTGCTGTATGTGCAAGGTGGCCATTGAGAATTCGCATGCCACTGAAGGTGACACTATATACCTTCCAAGATTCCAAGAAAAACTTAGAGTGAACTCAAAAGTTGAGTAGGAGATGGTAGAATATAAATATCATAAATTGAGAATATTGAAACCCTCCCATGGAGGCACTAAAATACTTGTTCACTCTTTAGAAGAGAGTGGAAGAGGTAAAGGAACCAGTGAACGCAATCTTATGTATGTCGAGGCTTGGGTAAACCATAGAGCGGAAAGGAACACCATTGTTGACTCTAGAGCCACTCACAACTTGATGATAAAGATGAAGCAAAATGCTTGAACATCCTTTGGCATCATGACACTGGAAATATGAAGGCCGTCAATTTGGAAGTTCTACCTGTCTTAGGAGTTGCAAAGAGAACTCCGATGAAAATGGGGACTTGAACTAGGCAAACCGACTTTGTGATAGTCAAAATGGATGACTTCGACATCGTGTTAGAGATGGACTTCCTACTAGAACACAAAGTCATTTCCATGCCTCTAGCAAGATTCTACTTTCTCAACCGTAGTGTCGACATCATTTTCACACCTCTTGGTTGATGGGTGTAAGAATCTCACATTGGTTGGGG